TGCACACAAACATACGCAAGCACATACACATATCACACATACAAATGCACACGCACACGCACACGAACACGAACACACACACGAACACACACACACACACACACACACACACACACACACACACACACACACACACACACACACACACACACACACACACACACACACACACACACACACACACACACACACACACACACACACACACACACACACATACACTCACACATAAACACACTCAAACAAACACACACACATAAATACATACATACACTAATGTGCGTATATGTATGTGTGTGTGTGTTTAAAAATTAAAATAATGTTATGGTAAACATATAAGATTGCTATAACTTCCGTGTAAGGTAAATGAATGGCACTTGTACATTTTTGTATCTATCGTCACCATTATTGTATTCATTATTTATTGAAATATTTATAAGGCTTTAGAAAATATTGAAGAATATTTATCATCACACCAGAGGATACTGACTCCTTATTAGAATAACCGCAGCTCAGTTCTTCAGTTTTACTTGAAGTGATATATATTAATTCCTCGTCAGTTGATATTCAGCTTTTAGACATTTAAGAAAAAAAGAAAAAGAAATTACAAAAAAAAAAAATAATAAAATAAAATTTAAAAACACATATACGTATATTTAAATCAGCAGCGGTACTTGGCAACTCGACCGGTTCTCGCAGTTATACATTCTACCCAAATTTGTCTTTCGTGAGAGGTTGGTTCCTATAAAAACGCGAAAAATTGGAAGGTCTCTTAATTATTCATGGTTCATAAAGGCGGTTCACGGCGGTTCTTCCATCTCAACAAATCTTATAGAATTTAGAAGAGAGGGCAACACCGGCACTGGAGAGATGCCAGTTTGCATTTTTTTTTCTATATTTTCCCCCAATCCCACTGAACCGTTGTTATAAAAAATGAGAGAAGGAAATTAATATCATATTTATATTCGTGTTTTCTGCATGGGTGATTGTCTTCCACTGAGATTAAGGATATGAAGGGAAAAGGTATATCTAGCCATGCATTCTTCCTGTATAGATTTGGAAAAGATTTTGAAGAATGTGCGAAATATACTCAGTATTTTATCATTTTTGTGTGATATAAAGCGAACATATTTGTTTCCGTTTATTTACCTTCCTTCTTCACTATCATTTCTTCAATTTTTGAACTTTGAAATTGATATAGACAATGTTATTTTCCGTCTTCGAACTCATCATACAAACACTTAAGACCTGATGTTTCCTATTTTTGAACTTTATAAGATAACATAAAAAAAAAACAAGAAAAAAAAAAGAAAAGTGTCAGCGCGTATGTCTTTGCTATCTATGTTGTCTTTGTTCAATGTGTTCATGTTTATGTTTACCGAACTGAACTGTTTATTCACTATGTTCTTTTCAAGCCGTTGTTTGTAGAGTTCAGTGTCCCGTGAATCCATTCTGTAGGTCGTTCTGCCATCATATCAGTAATATCTAATTAAAATATGTGCTTTGATTATTGTGGTTTTACGTGTTTGGCACAATGGCATCATGCAACGTGATTCAAGCATGACCTATGTGCGTAATTTGGGTGCATAGTTCTGTACCTATTAATGTACACGCGCATATGGATACACATATATTATTATATACAGTTTTAAGTAGCGTTGTATGTATGTGTGTGTGTGAGAGAGATTGTGTACTTGTATGTGTGTATATTTCAGTCAATACACGTTTGCATTTATGTTAGCATGTATATACTTATTCGTGTGAGTGTGCGGTCTTATAAATATGTATGAATATTTTATTTTGCAATGGTGAATTATTGCCAAACTTTGATCGCCATAATACTTTTTTTTCTGAGATATATATTTTTTTCTTTTACTTCATATACATTCCAAAAACCAAAAGGTCGATTTATTTACTTAGAAGTTTAAGATTTTTTTTTTTTTTTACAGTGTGATTTTACACTATGTACAATTCATAAGCTTTAAAAGATGTATTTAAGATGAATTAAATATGTAGTGAATATGGGCGAGATAATAGTTCTTCATTTATCATATTTTTTGTATCATTCCCTCGTTTCTTTTACTTTTGCTACGTGTCTTCGAATCTTTATGGATGATGATGTGTTCACTTCGCCCACTGAACTGGAGAATAAATATTTATGGATGTAAAATTTCTTTTATTTATCCTCTTCTTCCCGTGTTTGTTTGCGTGTGTGTATGTATGTATGTGTGTATGTGTGTGTGTGTGTGTGTGTGTGTGTGTGTGTGTGTGTGTGTGTGTGTGTGTGTGTGTGTGTGTGTGTGTGTGTACGCGCGCCTGTATCTGTGTTTGCGTTAATGTACAAACCTGAATCAAAGAACAAATAGACTAAACCACTAACGAAACGTCATAAACGCCGATCATTTCCAAGGATGGAGAAAAGGCGGAAGCGAACTTTTATATTTTGTAAAACTTTAATGGGATTTTTAGATATAAAGTTTGTCACTGAGTCTTAAAGAAA